TTTTTTTTGTAACTCCATTTATATCCCTTCCCTAAGCATCATCACAGCACACAAAATGCGATCTCCCATCCAGTACACACTGCATAGTGACTCAATCATGCACATTATAAAAAATTTTCCATTTCTAGTTCCTAGAAATATTTCCACCCCTCTTTCTGACCCTCTGTTCCTTCCCACCCTCCTCTCAAACCACCTCCGGTGTCCACAATTGTCCTTCATTCCCTTCCCACCCACATTGCATTGATCACACAATTTCCTACATAATCTAACTACTTTCAATGGTGAGTTCACTCATTACTACTAAGAAAACCAGTTTTAACTTAAATCAAAGAAACGCCAAGGAACTTTGCTTAAAGCCAGGAAACAGGTTAGGATTCTGTTCAAATGGTAGGTGCATGAACCTATCAGTCTCATGTACTTTTATCTTCTGTTCTGGTTCAATTTTCCTGATTAAATTCTGGGATATAATATTCAACTCCAGACTTGTCCCTATGATTAAGTTAGCTACTTTCTCAGTTTTTGGACTCTTATTTCCATGTATCTGCGTTTAGTTTTCCTGATACAGCACATCCTTGAGAACTTCTTGGAGGTCTGGTCTGGTGCTGGTAAATTCTTTCAGGTTTTGTTTATCTGAGAATGTTCTTGTCTTTTCTTCCCACCTGAAAGATAATCTTGCCGGATACAGTATTCTTGGCTGAAACTGCTTCTCTCTTAACACTTGGAATATATTTTCCCATTCTCTCCTCGCTTTTATTGTTTCTGATGAGAGATCTGCTGTTAGCCTGATGGGATGTCCTTTGTAGGTAACTTGATGTTTTTCTCTTGCTAATCTTAGTATCTTGTCTTTGTCTGCAGTTTTGGTCAACCTGGCTATAATGTGTCTTGGAGAAGATCTTCTAGGGTTGATTCTATTTGGGGTCCGTTGTATTTCCTGGGACTGGATCTTTGAATGCCTCTCTAGGTTTGGAAAGTTTTCTTGCAGGATTTCCTGGAATAGATTATCAATGCCCTTATGGGTTTCCTCACCTTCTGGAATGCCAATTATCCGGATATTTGGACGTTTGATGGTATCCAGTACTTCTCGCATATTATTCTCAAATTTTTGTGCCATTTTCTCAGCCTTCATGGTGGATTTTTCTAGGCCAGCCATTTTCTCCTCTACATCTGAGATTCTATTTTCTGAATGATCTAGTCTGCTTTTAATGCTTTCCAGGGAGATTTTGACTTCTTGTATTATAGACTTCATCTCTAGCAGTTCGGTTTGAGTCTTTTGTAAAGTGTGTAATTCCACTTTGGTATTTTCTTGTTTTCCCATATTTCTTGTGATCCGGCAGTGATTTCTTGTCATGTGATAGATGGTGTGTTTCTTTCAAATTCTTGAAGTTCAGCTGCTAGTTCATTTGCTGGAGGCTGAATTATCAGTAGAAAATCTTCATTCCCTGAAATATCTACTTCGCTGGAGCCATGTGAAACCTTCTTCTCAGAAACATCATTTTTATTAGTGCAAACTGAGAAAAGTCTGAAGATGCTGAGTGAATATGCTCTATGGTCCAATGGCAGTTAGAGAAGGCTACAAAATCTTGGACATGCTTCCTGTCAGAGGTGGGGTCTCCATCCTTCCCAGTGAACTCAGTTGGGCTCTGTGACTGCTTTGACCAACAATATGGAAGAAGTGGTGCTATGCCTTAAGAGAATGGCTACTTCCAGGTCCAGTCTCTGGAATACTGGCTTGCTCATGCAGCCCTAAGCTGCATTACAGGAATCTGACTATCCTGCTGGAAAGATCAGGCAAAGAGGCTTTGAAAGCCCTTGGAAAGGCAGTAGGCCCTTGCTGAGCCCATCTTTCTAGCTGTCCTCACCAAGACACCACATGTAAGTGAAGCTGTCTTGGATTAGCCAGAAAAGGAACACTATCAATGAGCCTGCTCCATGCTCTGTGGAGCTGAAGACTCTCTTGAGCTGATTGCTGCTCAAATTCCTAACCCATGAAACCATGAAATATAATAGGAGTTGTTTTAAACCACTAAGTTTTAATGAGAATGGGTCTTCATTCAACACTGTTTTCCTAATTTCTCTGCCATCTATTTAATATACATACAGGGAGGAAACTACAGGTTAGCCTTCATTTGAATATCCTAACCCTTTAACTTTACATAGCCCTTCCCTTTCACTCATGACCACAACACAAAGTGGCTGTCCTCCAGGAACATCCAGAAAACAATCACGGTCTTATCCAGGCCAAGTGCCCAGAAAAGATGCTTCTGTCCATGACTCTTATGATTTGTGTGTGTTCTCTGAAGGTATGTAGGAAAAACCACCCTCATTTGAAGGGAAAGTGATGACATTGTAAAATTCAGTTCTGCTACTTTCTAATAGGGTTATCTTGAGTTCAAATCCACTGGCTGGCCCTGAGTGCATTTCTAATAGTCTATGTTTTAATATATCCAGAAAATAAGAATCAAAGTACAGTCATGCATCACTTTTGGCAGGGATACATTCTGAGAAATGCACCATGATGCAATTTAATTGTTGTGCAACCATCATAGAGTGTATTTATACACTAGGCATAGCCTAGGCAAAATGTGTCAAAAATATGGTCTTTTGTTCACAGAAACATAGGGAATGCATGACTGTACCTACCTCAAGTTTTAAGATTCTTGAAAACAGGCAAAAGTCGTAAGCTCCTGAGAGCATGTACTTTGGGATCAGACTAATCAGTGTCAAACTTGGCTTCAACTTACTTATTCAGTTATCTTAAGAAAATGAGTGAAACTTCTGTATCTCAATTTTTTTTTCCATAGAATATATTGCCTTTTGCAGAACTGTCCCAATAATTAGCAATAATCTGAAGAAAATGTCTCCTCATATTTGTTCTAATTTTACTTGGCTTTTGTGTAGCTGGGGAAAATGAATGGGTGTGGTAAATGAGATTGGTGGCCAAAAGCAATGACAGCGTGAGTTCAAATCCACTGGCTGGCCCTGAGTGCATTTCTAATAGTCTATGTTTTAATATATCCAGAAAATAAGAATCAAAGTACAGTCATGCATCACTTTTGGCAGGGATACATTCTGAGAAATGCACCATGATGCAATTTAATTGTTGTGCAACCATCATAGAGTGTATTTATACACTAGGCATAGCCTAGGCAAAATGTGTCAAAAATATGGTCTTTTGTTCACAGAAACATAGGGAATGCATGACTGTACCTACCTCAAAGGGTTATTATGAAGGTTCAAGAGTCATACACTATGAAGGGCTCAGAATCATACTGTCTTTAAGCTTTTCTTAGTATTTGCTGCTATCATTATTATTATTGGAAAGTTATCTGGACTAGGAAAAAAACATGGACATACCTGGAGGCGTGGGTGGAAGGAGATTTTCTGCATCTGAAATGCATTTAAGAAAAGGCAACAGGTAATATTCTTTAATGAATGAAAGAGCAGGGAGGTGGGGTGACAAGGGCATGGGTGGGAAATGAAGGGGAAAAGACCATGACATTTCTGGGTACAGGAACCCAGAGTACCAGAGCTGACCCTTTGGAAATTTCAGCCCTCCTTTGGCCTAACGGTCTAAGAAGGGAACCTTGGCCTAGGGGACCAGGAAGACCATCCTGTAGTAGCCAGGACTGGATTACATTTGGCCCCTCTCCAGAGCCCCTTTCTGAACTATATATTCATAATCTCTGGGACTGGGGCCCTGGAATCTGCATTGCAATGCTCTGGGTGCTATGGTGTGTACTAATATTCAAGATCCCCTCTGTAACCCTGGAGCTGCCTGTGGCAGGGCAAGTGTCTGAGCCCAGGATCTGGCCCAGAGGAGAAACTTGAGGAATGAGCAGATGGATGGATGAGTGGATGGATAAAAATTCCACCCAAGACACATATTTTTAAAATGTCTTCAACTATAAATGAGAAATTATTGCCTGAGACAGAAGAGGCTACCTGAGCAGATGACACCGGCATCCTCATGGTGGCCACAGTTGTGCTCCAGCCAGCCTAAGTGGGAGCATTGGCCCAGGAAGTGCTCCAGCCCAGTGCACTGAAGGTTGTCTAGGAAGATCTGTCCTGAGCCTGGGCCGAAGTGGGCCTCACCAAGACCAGCGACAGCCTTTCCACACCCCAGCTGTCTGCACACAACCTCAGCTTCATTTAGGTCCCACAGGTCATCGCACACGGTGCCCCAGGCCTCCTTGTAGAGTATCTCCACACGTCCTGAGCACCGACCTGAGCCGCCCACCAGTCGCAGCTCTGGCCAGTCCCCTGTAAATAGAGACATGACAAGTGAGTGCCCCAAAGGCCCCACATGAGGTCCACCAACACCAGGCTCAAGGTAGGATGGAGAGAGACATCCCCAGGTCTTGAGCCTTGGGGCTCGTTCCTAACATTTTCTCACGAGTTCCCAAGTTGTAGTTGTAGTCAATTTAATTTCAACAGTATTTATTGATTGTCTTTCATGTTAGGCACTGATAGACTTATAAACAAAAGAGATATGGTTTCTGCTCTCAGGGAGCCTAGAGTCTACTTGTTAGTCATACTTAACAATAGTACAGTTCACTGTTCTGCACTGTGATAAATGTATCAATGGAAAGAACTCTATATTATGAAGAGACTGTCAGGGAGGAGGGGACTAGGGAGCTACATTTTTAAAAAGTGAGAAGGAAATGGCCAGGGAAATTTCTTTGAGCCAGAGGGAATAACATGTACAAAAAGACCATAAAACACTATTTCACCCTTGTATGAATTTCTCTTACATACACACACACACACACACACACACACACACAGCCATCATCATGTTAAAAATAAAAAGAACTTCTAAATAAGACTTTTTAATGGCATCTCAGTGGTGTGAAAATCTCTGCAGTTTGGACACAGAGTAACCTTAGAACTTGATGAACAAGTAGCTCAAGGACAAAATTAAGAACAGTTGGGACCAGCAGTTAGTGTAATGGCTATGTGGCTGGACTCCCACTTAGTAGACCATGGTTTGTGTCCCGGACCCGGTGGCTTAAACTCATGCCAGGCATGTGTGCGTGCACGCCCAAGATCACGAGAGGAGAATGGAGAAGGGATTGTGGCATGGCCATCCCCCTGGGGGCTGATTTCTTGCTTTCTGTCTCTCTGTCTCTGTCTGGCGAGTGCACAAGCCCTATAGCAAAAACCTCTCAAAAAAAAAAAAAAAGAAAAAAAAAAAAAAAAAAGGTGAATTTGGGCAAGCCAAAAAAAAAAAAAAAAAAAAAAGAAAAAGAACAGCTGATATTGGGCCAGCCCATGGCGTAGTGGTTAAGGGAGTTTAGATTCCACATGGCCAACCATGGTTTGAGTGCCAGCTCCAGTGGGTTGAAACACATGCTAAGCATTGTATTTGGCTCAAATCCCTACAGCATGGACAAATGGAGGAAAAAGAGTTCGTAGCATGACCATACCTCATTGGGAGGGCTTTTTCCCTTTCTCTCTCTTGCAAGCATGTACCTTCTGTTGACATTTAAAATAATCAAAGAAAAAAAAGAAAAGGAAAGCTGATTTTTAATTCCCATCAACAAAATGGGTGACTGACCTGGATTGTTTAAAAGTGATTCTTCAGCATCTGTTTTAGAGAGAATAAGTATGTCAGTATTTTTTGGAAATCCCCACTTTAGTAACTGAAGACAAAGGTTTTACTTATATCCTTATGCATGCTTATTAATCTGATATGAGAAAAATTAGTTCTTTTAATTAACAATACTGGAGAAACATATCTGTAGACACAGAGTAAACTTCTCTGGTTGTTGGTTTACAACTGCATTATGAAAAAGGGTACACTTGGAATGATCTGACTTAAACTTGATTTTGGAGCAGGTGTGTTTTCACTTTGGGAATCTTTGGAGGCACATCAGATTTAGATAATCATCCTCTGGAAAGGGCAGACTTAGGAATAGCATGCACCTGTGAGCTGTAACAAGGTTATATGTGCTATGTATAATAAGATGCCACAAAGCAAATAGATCAGCAAACAAACGTACCAATGCGTGAATCAGTGGTTTTAAATGTGTGCCTCAAATTAAAACTCACAGCGAGTGGGTACTGACATGTGATTGAGCTGCTGCTCACAGACAACTCTATGTAGTGAGCATCAATCACATCAAGTTATGATTCCTGATTTTTACAAGGCACATCAAGGGTTACAGCTGTTATTCACCAAAAGGCTTCTCATTTCAAAAAGGATTATTAATAGATATTCCAGAGGGGACTAACTTACTCCTAGCTATTTACACATGAGTAAATCTAAAGTATTTTCTAAAAAGTCACAAGGAAATTGAAACGAATCATTTTAGTTGACAGATTTTTTTTTTTTTTGAGATTTTTTGCTATAGTGCATGTGCACTTGCTGAAGAGACAGAGAGAGACAGAAAACTAGAAATCACCCCCCCAGGAAGCATGGCCACAATGCAATCCCTTCTCCATTCTCCTCTCAAGATTTTGGGTGCACACACACTCGCCCAGCATGAGTTTTAAGCTGTCGGGTCCAGGACTTGTACCACGGTGGGCCACATGGGAGTCCAGTGCCATAACCACTATGCCACCTGCCAGCCCCCACAGATTTTTCTTGAAGTGGTGATTAAGTGAGGAAAATGATGGTCAGCATTACCACATACACAGTTTCCTTGTCAGTTACTATGTGAATACTTTGCAAAACACAGGCCTAGTTCTTTTAGCAACCCTGCAGGAAAACAACTAGTTTCCTAATTTTACAGACAGAAACCGAGGCTCTGAGACTTTAAGCATCGCTCACATACTGCCTGAGTGTTAGCATTTGCTCTGAAAGGCAAACTCAGTGCTGTCCTGCTTTAAAGTCCTCCCTAGTTTTGCTACAGCAGGAGCCCTTTCCATGAGCTCCCCCAAATGCCCATAATTAAATATCTTTTGCATGTTTCAGTAAGCACACATACCTTTGGTACTACTTACTACCAAATTAGAAGCCTAGAAGCTTTTATTCTGGAGCCTAGCAGTTAAAACCTTACATATCTGGGGCTGGCAGGTGACGTGGTGGTTAAAGGTACTGGATTCTCACATGGCTGACCGCGGTTTGGGTCCTGGACCAGGTGGCTTGCTTTCACACTTTCTCTTTCTCTCAAGCTCTGTCTCTGTCTGGTCAAATTAAAAAATAATAACAAATGGAATTAAATAAATAAATAATTTGAAAAATCTTATATATCTAACCAAGTTTAACACGTTAGAGCTAAAATCAAATGCTACATTGAAGGAGCCTGTCTTTGTCTCTGGCTGGCTTTAAGTACCAGCAGGGTGGTCTGGAAGCACTCTGGGGCTGGCAGTGCATTAGAGGGGGGAGAAGTTACCTGAGCAGATGACACTGGCATCCTCATGGTGACCACAGTTGTGCTCCAACCAGCCTGAGTGGGTGCACTGGCCTAGGTAACGCTCCACCCCAGCACACTGAAGGTTGTCAAGGAAGATGTCTCCTGAACCTGGGCCAAAGTGAGCCTTTCCAAGGGCAGATATGGCCCGTCCACATCCGAGCTGTCTGCACACAACCTCGGCTTCGTTGAGGTCCCAAAGATCGTCGCACACGGTTCCCCAGGACCCCTGGTAGAGGACTTCTACGCGTCCTGAGCACCGACCTGAACTGCCCACCAGCTGCAGCTCCGGCCAGTCCCCTGCAGACACAGACCTGATCACTATGGTTCTCTGGAGGCACAGAGCCTTTCCCGTGAACTGGCTGAGCTCCCTATCCGCATACTACTATTAGGGAGGGAGAGCCTGATAAAAGAGTCAGTCGACTAGTCAGCTTCCTAGTTGGAGGTTTATTTTTTATTTATATGTTTTTCAAAATGCTGTAGCCACAGGAATAGCATGGCAATGTCTTTTTTTAAAATTATTTATTTACTCATTTATTTTAATTTGACCCAAGAGAGACAGAGAGAGAGAAAGAGAGAGAGAAAGTGAGAAAGCAAGCCATCAGGTCTGGGACTCGAACTGTGGTCGGCCATGTGGGAGTGTCCAGCACCTTAACCACCACACTATCTGCTAGTTCCCCCTAGTTGGAGATATATAAAACAGTAAAACTGCCAATAATATTTAGCCTAAAAACTCCATTAACTGATTATCTATTTTGCCAGAATTATGTGCCATTCTGTTTTGACTACATGTAGAGAAGCACAATAAATAATTTTCACAGTGACTTGTGGTTTTATTAAGTACTTTCAATTATGTCTGTATGTTCACCTTCATCTTTATAACTCAGGAAGATAGGCATGAGTATTGGTGCTAATTTTGTATATGAGGAAACAAAGTTGGAGAAGAAAAGTGATTAATTCCCAGACCCATGTCTGGTAAACAGTATATCTAAACACAGATCTCCTGATTCCACCAAAGATTACTACTTTTTTCTCTACTAGTACATCTCAGTGCCTTTGGAATGTCTCTGACACTCTATCCTGAAAAAGTCTATTAGTCATGTGAATGTGAAGCTAACTATGATCAGGACTAGAATAAAAAGAAAAGATAGAAGAAAGTATTTGTAAGTTTCTCTGGCTTTGATGACTTTGAAAGGCATCAAAAACCAAAACCAAATAACAACAAAGCACTTTGAAACAAACAAACAAAAAGAAAGAACTTCACTGGTCCTGGGATGCTAGAGCCAAAAGATCCCAGAAGGTTTGAATGGCCCTCAAAGTGGATAGAGTCAGCTGGTTTATTGGCTCATACATGAACCATTTGCAGTTGGTCCAGTTTCTCATGAAGCAGGAAGAAGTGAAGATATAGATGCAGATCCCTAGAGGAAAGGACCCATGATAAACAAATGGATGCACTCCAGAGCTTACCAGGTCTTGCTGTTATTGTCTTGGGTGTTGATGCTGGGATGGCTGTGGATACAAGAAGACATTTTTAAATAAAAAGAAAAGACTTGGGTAAGTCAAGAGGGTAGCAGCTGAAATCAGTCTCCGCTGAACATCGGGGTTCTAGGTGATTCTCCCTGTCATCATAATAACTGACTTCCTAAATGAACTGTTTTTTCATGCGGGTCTTGATGTTTGTGTGTAGAGTCCAACAGAAGTAATATTCCCTTCACTGCCTAGTCCCTGGGAATATAACAATATGTGCTAAAATGCAAATATTTATAATCAGTGTCCATCTGGGGAAAACAGCCTTTATTTATTTATTTATTTATTTTTAATCCTGCTTACCTAAATGTGGAGTATCTGATTAGGTATGTCTCACTCTCTTTGGAAGTAAGAAATCAGATCAACAATGATCAATAGATAGTGACTTGACTGTGTATTTTAATTGTGACTTGATGGACAGGCATTCTCAGGTCCAGTGTGAATGAGCATAATGCTTTGCAAAGCCTGCGCAGACAGAATCTCTCAGCTATGGTAGGTTTATACTGGGAACTAGGAAACACATATGAGAGAGATCAAATGATGACGGTAAAAGCACCAGGAATGGGTCCAGAAGAAGAAACATGATCTAGGAATCAAGATTCAATAACAGCATGAAAGATGCCTTACTGATTAGGTGTGGAGTCTTCGACATTGCCTCTGTAAATACAAAGAAACCATCGTCAGTAACTGTTCAATGCGGCCTATGGTGATTTTCCCTGACCCTCTTTGAGACACAGAGCAGCTCCTCTGTTTTATAGCATGTTTCCCAAGCTTGATCAATGAGTCATGCTGACACTCCCTACTGGAGACCGTTCTGGATGATGTCTCCAACAGAGTGGATGTGAGTCATTGATCACTTTCTCTTAGTGATAAATAGTGGAAGACCTTGCTTAATTACGGAGCTTCCCAAGCCTAGGTTTCCCTTCCTATGAGAGGATAAGAACCACAGATTTGCATGAGGGCGACATATGCAGAGTGTCAAAGTTTCAAAAATGCCCCCTGGTATGTAAAAGGCATTCAGTGAACGTTAGCTGTTCCTTTGATGATCTTGATCACTTGCTGTTATTACCTGACCTGGAGTGCACTCTGCTTCAACAGAAACCGTGGCTTCAGTTCTGTCTGCTTCTCCTCACACCTCTTACGCATGCCCTCTCCAGGCTCACTCTGTTCTCTCTTCTCAGGGGCCCTCTCCCTTCTTCTCTATTTACAGCTTAGACAGCTTTAAAGCCACATCAAAGGCTTTCCCCTTGATGTTTTTCTTAATATTCATGGCCTGCATTGTCGGTTCTCATTCTTAATGTCTTTTGTTGAGATGTAGGTAAATGCCAATTCAGAATATTCTTTTTTCTCTAGAGAGATTTTTGCTATAGGTCATGTGCACTCACTGGAGAGATAGAGACAAAGAGAGATAAAAAGTGAGAAATCATCCCCCAGGGGGATGGCCATGCTGCTATCCTTTTCTCTCTATCTCCTCTTGGGATTTTTGGGTGCGTGCACGTGCGTGCGCATGCGCGCGCGCACACACACACACACACACACACACACAGACACACGTGGTGTGAATTTTAAGCTTCTGGGTCTGGGACTTGAACTGTGGTCAACTACATGGGAGTCCAGCAATGTAACCATTATACCATCTGTTACTTTCACCAATTTAGTATATTCTATCTTTTCTATTTGTTTACCTTAACCTAGTGTGTCCTATTGTCATCTAATTGCATCACAGATATTTATCTTTCTTAAAGAATTATTTATTTAATTTTATTTATTTATTATTATTCTTCAATTTGACGAGAGAGAGAGAGAGAAAGCTGTCAGGTCTGGGACTTGAACCATGGTCAGCCGTGTGGAAGTCCAGCACCTTAACCAATGACGCCACCTGTCAGGCCTCGTTTATTTATTTTTTTTTAAAGTTTTTCACTTTTTATTTGTAATACAGAGTGTGAATGTGCATGGGGAGTGGGGTGAGGGGATGGGAGACACCTTCAACAGGGTCTCTTTGTACCATGATCTCTGTCCCTCAGCTTGTCAGGATCTTGCACTCATGAGTGCTCAGCAGATTTTTCAGGCTGAATGGGGATCCAAAATTCTGGTCAGCCATGTGGCTCTTTCAGCACTGCGATCAGTGCACTACCTCCTGAGCCACTGAGGCTGGCCCATTTGTATTTGTCTTGAACTCCCTCTAGGTTGTACATGAGCCTCTCTTAGGCTGGGACCACACCTTCTTTTCCTGAAGATCCTAAAACACCCATCTAGTACTAGATTCGGAGTAACTTTAGAAATGACTTCCTAGGGACTAGCCGGTGGCATTGTGGTTAAGATGCTGGACTTCCATATGACCAGCTGCAGTTTGAGTCCAGGAAACTAGAAATTCATACCAGGTGCATGTGCATGTGTGCTCCAAATCCTAAGAGGAGCATAGAGGAGAAGGGATTGCAGCACCCTTGGGGGGGCAATTTCTCACTTTCGTTCCAATGAGCTCATGTGCCTTCCACATTCACACACCCACACACACAATTTCTTAAAAAAAAGACTTCCTAATGAGCTGACAGTGACGAGATATTATGTAAAACTAAAAAGTTCACAGAAAGGCTTCTGAATCATTCAGTATCTACAATGTGCCATCACTTTCATTAGTGCTTGCTGGCATTGTTTCATGTAACCCTCATGACAAGATTAGGAAGTAAGGTTCTCTTATCCCCATTATACATGGAAGGAATTGAGATAGAGAGAGGTCAAGAAGCTTGTTCAAGGTCACAGAGTGAGTGATGGGACTGTAACTGGTACCCAGGCACAGTCCAGCCCTGGAGCTGTTGCTCTCAACCACCAGCCTTACCTTTGGGTGCCGAATAATAATAAGCAATGAAGTTTTTTCCTATGCTACTGAAACTTCGGAAGTACACAAGGGTCATTGAACTGGAGGAGGATGAAAAAGTGAGGCGGAAACCGGAGCAGGTCTTCCCCAGAGATTTTTCTGAGGATGGAGGGCCATCCAGGATTTCAAAGTATTCATTGGTGCAGTCAAGGCTGGAAAAGCAAACACCCATGGATGCATTCTTAGTCTCCTCACAGAAGAGCTTAGAGGTATGTTGTGAGACAGACGGTTTGTTTTGCTACTACGAAGACATTGGAGACAGATTAAAAGGCTGTCAGTCATTCAGACATGATATGGATTCCTTTATTCTACTTTTTCTTTGAGCACTGCCTTAAGGGAATGGGATTCTAACTGGAAGAGGAAAAGAGGAGGCTAGCATGAGGTGTGACCCTGCCAAGGGGTTGGGAGAAGCCTAAAACTGCAGATAACCTCCCAGCCAAGGGTCAAGGGCAGGGCCAGGCAACGCAAACCAATTTTACCATGTGGCAACTGGGAGCTCAGAAGAGAGGAGAGGCTGCTCAGCAGCTTCTTGGTTTTTGCAGTTCTCACCAACTTGCCAGAAGGACACGGTTCCAGTTCCAAACAACCCATTTACAACTTAAATGATGGGTTGTTTGGAACTGGGTTATCAGGTCCAAGCATATTCTATTATAGAATCTGCATCTTCAGTCAGTTGGCTAGGATACATGTGCATGTAAAAAATGGTGAAAACTGAATTAGGTCTGTAGTAGAGCTAACAGTCTTGTTTGAAAGTCAGTTTTCTGGCTTTAAAATTGTTAAATATTGTTACACAGCTGCCACCCTTGGGGAATCTTGGTGAGGGGTACATAGGACTCTATCATTTTTGCAACTTCCCATGTGTCTATAATCGTTTCTTTAAAAACTTTTAAAAATTTACATTTATTTACTTAAAAAATTTACATATATATTTTCTATTTCCACTTAATCAATGTACATCTTTACAGTGTACAGTATGGCTTTTCCCAGCATGAAAATGGTGCATATTAATCAAGTTAAAGATATTACCAGATACGTTATCAATAGAAGAATTTTCATTTTTGTGCCTATTAAATGTTCTATTTTTTTTTCCCTTCTGATCCTCTCCCTCCCATCCCCTATTACTCATCCCCTTCTATACTATCTCTAGTATCTACAGTTGGTTCCCCTGCTATTAAACTTTATAATCATTTTAAAATAAAACGATAAGAAACGTTTAAGAGTCTGCCAAAGGGGCAGACTCTTTGGCTGATGAGAATCAATAATAAGAATAAATGATTGAATTTTAACCTACAGAGTGTACTTAAGTAATGAACGTAGCACTTACTTAAGATGTGGAAATGCCAGCAGTATGTGATCATATTCGTTTGCCTTGATTTCCCACACACAGGTTATGTTGTCATGCATTTCATTCTGCGGGGGATTCCTGATCGCTCCAGATGAGTTAGTAATAATGCCACCACACCGAGACTTTTCTAAATGCGGAAAGATAGTTTAGAATTTCAGGTTTTTTTTTTTTCTCATTGTCCAGTTTGCTAATTTTGTAATGTACACATTTTTCTTTTCTTTTTTTTTTCAGAAAAGGTTTTATTAGGCATTGCTTTGTGGGTATGTGTTAGGACATATCAGAGGTACAAAAGATAAAAAATCTTGCAAACTTGGGTAGTTAGGGCATGAACATGTCTGAATTTTGAAACATCACTCACTTTCGAGAATTCTATCCTGACATGGGCTTGCTCAAGAAGAGTTGTTTAATGTCAGACAAACTTTTCCTCTGGTTACTCCCTAGTCATGAGTTCTTTGGGGGGAGGAGGGATCAACTCTGAAACAGCATGAGGAAAAGTTGAAGGGCCAGGGACCTGTTCTATGCCTTAACTGTATCATTACCCAAATTCACCAAAATGGACTTTACCAGAGGGTGGGCGACACCACACCCCAATCAAACTGGACCTTAAAAATGGATCAATTTTATGATGATATAAATTGAACTCAATAAAAATAAGGTAGATTGAAGTATGAACAGAGGGATGCCAGATGGATTTATAAATCTACTATAGAATCTATGTGTCAAAATCTTTAAACTTTGCTGCATATTTGAAAATTTTCATAGTAAAATAGCATAGAATCTGCATCTTTAGTCAGTTGGCTAGGATACATGTGCATGTAAAAAATGGTGAAAACTGAATTAGGTCTGTAGTAGAGCTAACAGTCTTGTTTGAAAGTCCACTTTCTGGCTTTAATATAGTTTAATATTGTTACATAGCTGAGGGGAGTGCCCCTCAATTTCTACCGTAAGACCTATGTCTCTGCTCTTTGATGGCAACCTCTTGCTTTCCACATACGTTATTTCGTCAGTCCACAAGGCTGCTTATGGCTCTCCTTGTTAGCCACAGAATTTCAAAGGCATGGAATTTTAGGGAGCATGGAATCCAGAGCGTATATCCTAGTGACAAAGAGACTGAGGGCCAAGGTCATCCATACAATGAGAGGCCAGCTTAGATCAGATTCCTGCAGCATGGAGCCCTCTCCCTCTCCACACCATCTCCCTTAGGTTCACATGTGAGCAAAAAGAAGAGAACTATTACTGAATGTTTGCCAGGTGTCAGGTACTTTTAGGCCTTGCCATATTCACACCCTTATTAAATTCTTTTTATTATCCCTGCTTTAATGAAGAAGAAAATGGGCTTGAGCTGAGAAGTTTGAATTAAATGAGACTGCCTAAGAGCTCCTCCCTGCAACAAGGTCAAATCCTAGATTACTTCTTCCCTGCCCATGTGAAGAAAGACACAGAATCACCAGGGAGTCATTGGGTCTCTTGGGGATAGAATGGAATTCACCTCAATCGCCCCCATAAAGACCCCTGGTTCAAAATAATTTGAGCATTGTCTTTCTCTTTTCCCCTAGAAGCTGTTACTATCTTCAGTATCACAGGCTAAAATTCTAGCCATTGCTTACCCACTCTACCTTCATGGACCTGTATTAGAATCCTCCGGTTGTAATCCCTTTTGCTCCTTCACTTTCTGTGTAGCTTTGATGATATGTACCACCAACTGCCTTGATGGTGGTAGTGCCTGAGTGTATACTTGACATCCTCACTAGATAAAAGACATGTGCAGAACAGGGATTATGAGATGGAGTAGTTTAGAGCATTGGTTTTAGAGTTAGAACAGGACAAGCTACATGATCTCCTAAAGCCCCAGTTTTCCAGTTCATAAAAAGGGAAAAATATTCCAGAGGAACAAATAAGATAGCCCATGGAATGAACTTTTTTCTTTTCTTTTTGGAGAGGTTTTTTGCTGTAGGGTGTGTGAGCTCGCCAGAAAGACAGAGACAGAGAGACAGAAAGAGAGAAATCACCCCCCAGAGGGATGGCCACACCGCAATCCCTTCTCCTCCATTCTCCTCTCGGGATCTTGGGCACACATGCACATGCACCTGGTGTGAGTTTAAGCCACCGAGTCCAGGCCTGGAACCACGGTTGACTACATGGGAGTCCAGCGACATAGCCATTATGCTAACTGCTGTTCCCATGGAATGAACTTAACATAGTGCCTGGTGCATAGCAAGTGCTCAAGTAATGTTGGTGTCACTGTGCTGCTGCTGCTACCGCTATTGTCACTACCCCTGTGTCCGACCCCTTTCTGTGTTCTTTCGTTATGCCTGGAACATTTGTAAGTGCTCATTAAATAGCCATGGTAAAAATCCGAATATCTCAGTGAATTGAGTGAGTAAGTGTGTGTGTGTGTGTGTGTGTGTGTGTGTGTGTGCACGCATGCACGCGCAAGCATGGGTGTGTATATGCCAGGATAGTCAAAGGACTACTTGCTAGAAACTCTAACCTTTTAGATAGATTCTAGAGTAATACCCATATTACATATGAACCATCAAAGGTCTCAAAGAGATTAAATAATGTTCACTCAGGTGAGCTGAGACTCAGACATTGGATGGGCCTGGGCTGAGGCTGAATTTGGGGACATGTAGGTAGGATGAGGCAAGAAGCAGACCAGATGTCCATGAAAGCCAACTCCAACCCAGTGCTCTAGCATTTGGCGTAAGTAGTCAGGATTGCATTTATCAAAAGCTGCCTGCCAGATATTATGCTGAATGCTCTGCTTAGGTGACCCTGCTTTCTTTGCATAATTGCCTTGTGAGGGAAAGACTGTTTCATCCTATTGTACAAACGCAGAAACCAAGGCTCAGGAAAAGTGAGTGACTTGCCCTCACTGAACTGAGATTTGAAGTGAGTTCTACTTGTCTTCAAAGACCCTAACCCTAACTGCCTCATTTCTTACTGAAACAAGATATAGGAAAAAAGAGGGAACTGCATGAAGTCTAACAATTTTATTGCCCATTTTATCTTCTTTCCTGATGTAAAGATAGGGGAATAAGGAGGAAATTCAACTCAATTTGTGCTGTAGATTCCCATTATAAATATCCATCAAAATTTAAATGAGAAAGAGAGAGAACATGTCACAGAGTTGGCTCTCTGAGACACCTGGATAAACATAGGCACTATTTACTGAGCCCCTGCCATGTGTCAGGCTTTGTCTGTAGATTTCCATTATAAATATTCAACAAAATTTAAATGAGAGAGAGAACATGTCACAGAGTTGGCTCTCTGAGACACCTGGATAAACATAGGCACTATTTACTGAGCCCCTGCCATGTGTCAGGCTTTGTACTAAGCCCTCCAACAAGGGCTGAAGGTTGAAACCAATCGAGTCTATGAGGTATCATTATTAATTTCTCTACTTCCTAAATAAGGAGAGTGAGGCTCAAGGAAGGTAACTGGCTCCCAAACTCATGCAGCCAACCTTAGCAGAGTCAGATTTAAACAGATTTGATTTAAAAGAGTTTGCTTACCATTTCAAGGCCATGCTGCTTTCTTAAATATTTAGCAATGGATGTTAGAAACTCATACTGAAAAGTAAAAGTGGAACCATCTAGGGTAAGTTCCCATTATAATAAGGTCCATAGGAGATCTGACATCTTTGAGTTGTCTGACGTTACAGATAACTTCCCTGTCTGACAGTGTTGAGAGGCACAGAAGTGGCTAAGTTCACTAAATCAGTAAAACAATGTTTTTTGAGGCCTGAAAAAATAAAAAAGGTCACATAGTCCTCATCCCTAGACTCACTCTCTTTAGTCCCTGGAGTACTATTTCAGGAACTAGAGGTAGTTCGGAGATCTGCTTGTTTTTTTCCTGGTGATTGAGGGCCTGGGGCCTGGGGTTATTGCTTGGGTAGGTGGTGAAGAGGAAACAAAGCAAAAGAGGGGTGTGGTTCAACCAACTGGTGTTGAGAAAAGATCCGAGGTTGATAGACAGCCCACCAGTAAACTTGCATAGAATGCTGTGTCCTTTGCTCTGACATCAGCAATCCTGGCAAGGTGTTACAGGAGTTATGTGATTTGCTGGAGGTGGTGACAGGGATTTTCATGATCAAGAGTACAGGGACATCACTGAACAGAAAAGGATTCAGGGTCCCTCTCCCATCATTACACCTCCTCAAATTCATTCACAGCTCATCTGACTCAAAGAAACAAGAGGAGACTTGAGTTACTCAGGGTGGAACTGCTCAGGATCAGTGGTGGCAAGAGGAAGTACCATTGATATAGGATTGCTTTTGTTTTAAGGATCTCATTTTGTTTATCCTGTCTTTACAAATGTAGAGCTCCTTTTCTTTCTTTCTTTCTTTCTTTCTTTCTTTCTTTCTTTCTTTCTTTCTTTCTTTCTTTCTTTCTTTCTTTCCTTCTTCCTTTCTTAATAGCTAAGTGGGGAATTTATTGAAAGAGAGGGGAGGACGAAGAGAGCTCCCGAGAAAGGAGGGGGGTCCCAGAAAATGGGTTGCCAAAGAAGAACTGTGGTGAGGAGTTTTTATTTGGGTCAGGAAGGGAATAAGTCTGGAGTTATTCTAGGTGGGACTTGTGCACACATTTCCTCCTACTGGGGAGGGGTGCATGCTGGATGGGTCCAATTACTTTCCTAATTTTGGAGTGGGTACCAAGGTCAGGAGATTCTTTGTCTAGAAGCTTTTGGCCATAGGAACCGTTATCTTATCTTCTTCCTGGAATGTGGTGGGACATGGAAAAAACCCTTTGTTTTAGGTCTAGAGCTTCTTTCATTTCTTTTTCCTCCCTTGTTTCTCACTGTATCATAGGGAGATGGAGCCAAGCATTTCTAATCCTAGTTTACAGGTGAAAAACCGATGCACAGAGAGCTTGGGTGACTTGCCCAAAGAAGAGTCTGTGTCAATGCACATGCCTGAGACTAGGGGCTTGCTGTCCCACCTTTTCAACATCAGCATCACAAAGCCCTCAATTGGCACTACTCTCTCTCCATCATCTCTCATGTCCCACTAGAGAGGATTGAGAAGAAACATTTAATGGTTAGAAACGTGTACTTTATTCTGCCTTCTGGTTGGTGGGTAGATGATTTGGCATCTGCCAAGGTAGAAAAAATTTGTGTGAACCACATAGACTCACTATCAGAACTATCTCTAGCTGATTCTATGCTGTCTACACAACCACAATGTGCTGAATGAGGGCTGCCATGGGGTGCTAGCTCTGAGCCACTGAGGCCATCACTCACCTGCTTGAATATGCCTGTGGAGAGTGCTTTGGGGTAGTGGGACTTCTTTCATAACCCTTCTGCCTGCCTGGATGGTCTGAGCCATAATGGTGGTCCTGCCTCAACTCCTTCCCAGCATGCCACTCAGTTTAAGACCAGAGAAGTTGCTCTCTCACATGATCCTGAGCTGTCCTCTTTCTTGTAGATGCCCCATCTTGTCACCGATTGTGTTTATCTCTTGAGTTTGGCATTCAGGAGCTCAGATCCTCGTTTGTGGCCATGTGTACAGGATCTTATGACAATTTAGATGGCCTTCCTCTTTGTACTAGTTTCTACAAATGATGATTGCATTCTACTCTATTTTGTATATTTTTGTATCTTCCTTGAATTTGTCTGTACTCATCCCATTTTGTAATTAAATAATTATTTGTGTGATTGTTGATCAATGTTCTGGCTGTTCCACAAGGGCAAAGATGAGGTCAGCATGGATCATATCTATAATTCCACTGTTCAACTCAGAACCTACTATGTAAGTGAGCCTAATCAACATGTTTTCTAAATGTGTACACCAGGCAAGGTGTAAGAAAAATAAATAAAGCCCCTTGCTTATTTGAACTTTGGTTTTATCTTCTGGACAATGGAGATAGTCTTCTTAGCGACAATTTTATTGGCTATAGTGAGGATCAAACTAAATCATGTATATGAGGCAAGTTGTAAATATCAAGTGTTCTGAATCAGAGTAACGTTTTCTTAAATTGACTAAGTAGGCTTACTTACTTTGTTAATGGTGTGGTTTCATTGCTTGGGGGCTGGTAATTTGAGTGTTACAGATGCCATAGATAAGTGCTAATTGATAATTCTACAACTTTCAACTTACATATGCAGTAAAGGGCATGAAAATGGAACTAGCCCTAACACGGATGGGGACTAATACACTCAGTGCTATTTTTTTTTCTCTTCTATATATACAGAGAGGTTCCCACATGTTTGTGCAAATCAGTGAGGTCAGATGCTGCTTTTTGTTGGTGAAAAGGTACACAATTTCAGTCTTTGCAGTGAGATCTGGGCAGTTGAGAATATGCCACAGAGGCTACTTAGAGCACACTGCTTTCCTCAGGGAGGTTAGGTAGATACCTTGGAAGATGAATGGAGAGAGGACAAGGAGGCTCTCAGTCAAGCTCAGTAGAAAACAGTCATGAGGGTTTCATCTGGTTAACAAAGATAAGTTGGTCCTACCTGTTGGAAACGGATCGAAAACCTGGCACCTATCAGTTAAGAAAGAACATCTACCATCTGCACTCTGCCATTTACATTATCCATAATACTGATTCTGTAGGGAGTACTGGGAGGTAAGATTTTGCATCCAAGTGAGGACTGACAGCCATGCACTCACCTGAGCAAATGACACTGGCATCCTCCTGGTGTCCACAGTTGATTTGGGCCTGGCCCCTGTATGCGCACAGCCCCAGGTGGCTCTCGCTGCCCTCACACTGTACGTCGTCCAACAGGATCTTCCCAGAGCCTGCCCCGAAGTGGGCTCCTGTGGGGGCTGCCACTGCATGGCCACACTGCAATTGACGGCACACAACAGTGGCCTCGGCCAGGTCCCAGAGGTCGTCACACACAGTCCCCCATGTGCCTTGGATAAGAACCTCCACACGTCCTGAGCACCTCCCAGTGCCATTCAGGAGCCTCACCTCCATCTGGGCCCCTGAGGAGTCACAACAAGGAGAGATACTGGAGACAGGTTTTTTGGTATTAAGATATTGCCTTGATCCTGTTATATTAGTCTCTTATACTGGTTCCATATGCTCGTATCTTCCATATGCTACAAGATAGTGATTACAATGATGATGATAGTTCTAAGAGTTCATGAATTTTACTACATTACAAGCACTATTAGAGTGCTTTACAAGTTTGATCTTAACTAAGTCTAACAAGTCTTTGATATTAGTTCATTTATTTTTTCCTTTTTGCTAATAAAGAAATTGTGACTCACGGAGTTCAAGTAATCTGTTCAAGGTCATACACTTACCTCTTGAAGTGTCAGTCCTATGCAAAGATCTGATTCTCTGTTTAGCATGTTTTGGATGTTCCATAAATGTTAGCTCCTTGCTTCATTTTTTCAAGGACTTACCTGCCAGGGCCATGGATGTGGATTTCAGGGCCACAGGTTCTCTTGTGGTTATGGTTGCAGATAATCCATCACCTGTTAGCAGGGATAAACAGAGGCATTCCTACTAGTTAGCATACCCCTAAACCCAGGTTTGAAATGATGAAGTTTCAAAAACAGACAGACTCTCAAGGTCACAGTCAAATGTGCAGTCTCAGTTCCTGACTAGCTTCTCCAGAGGTAAGTACCCATATTCACAGGGATCTGGTCAGCACTCAGTGTGGTTCAGGTCTGGGAGGGCACTAGCTCAGCACATGACACATTGCTCCTTTTCCCATGTCCTGTAGAACAAATGCCAACTGACCTGCTGGAGTGGGCGTTGGGGAAAGTATAGCAGGTTCTGTGGTGGGCACGGTTGCTGACAGTCCTTTACCTGTGAGTGCAAAACAGAGGCCGTGTTCACTGGTACATACCCCCTCGTCATGTACAGAAGAGAAAACTTCTGAAAACAAGCTCAAGGAGAAAAACTGGGCCCAAATCTGTCCTGTCTGTGTTTTCATTGGCTCCCTGTGTGTTATTCCCTGCCACACTCGTTCATCTAGAATGTGGGCTCTACAGTGGGATGGAAAGTTGGCATTTTTGAAGACGTACCCTTGGTTAGTATGCCCAGTTCTCTAAGTATCTACAAAACCATTTGTGAATTTTTCCCTCTCTCTCTCTCTCTCTCTCTTTTTAGAAATAATCTAGATATTCTATATCCAGGCCATGGCAGTCAATGAAATGTCGTGAAATGTCGAAACATTCTGGCTCCCATCTGGATCTGGTTGTACATAAGTTCTGAGTAGCGTGAGCCCAGCCATATGAGGCTTCCACGGGATATGAAAACAGCCCCATTTTTATTTTATTAACTCCTACAACAGCAATCAGGTATTGTATCATTTCTCTTTATAAAGGATCTCAAACAATTAGGGTAAAATGTTCGGATTCGGTAAAACTCAGTAGTGGATACCCAGGGATTCATGAAACTATTCTTAATATTTATTAGTGGGTTTGATACATTTATAATATTCTTTATATATCTATACAAATAAAAACAATTGAATAGTCACTTTATTATTGTGATCAATTTAAATCATTTGGAATTAGATTGTCCAGAATGGCTAAATCATCAAACTGGTTGTTTAAAATGTGTTGACGTAGAAAAAGAGACAATGATTGGGTTGTCAGAAAAGTCATAAGGCATTTTTGCACAGAAAAAAATACGTCATGACTTTTTTGACACCCCAATATATAATTGGTTTCTTTTTTCTATAGGCCATATGGTACAATGTAGACTCAATATTAATACATAAGAAATGTACAGTTATTTTTCTGACAGTGAAACAGTCGGCAGTCAGCTTTAGCTAAGGTCAAGAAGGGGATACCTTGAGTGTGCGGCCCCCACCAGTGGGAATTTTACCAACCATATTAGTTTTGTTATCACTGTTATCGTTTATTGGAAAGAAAGGCTTCACTGTTCTCCTATCAAATACCTTCAGATGGAGGAGTTGTTCATTTTTACATGTTTTCTGCCTTCCATTCCAATAATTTATTTGTTTCTACATTATTCAGATTCTCTGAATTAAGAGGATGTTATGATAAAAGTGTCTAGAGATTTATGAATCCATATGCAGCTTTTAAAACCTATTTTGGTCACCATTAGTATCACTTGGGAGATACATTAACATTCAATTCTAACTGATGTTATTTCAATTGGATGAGCTCCTGAGCCATTTAGAGACAGCTCAACATTCCCAAGTGTAGGCATTGTTTAGGTAAATCAGAAACCATTATAAAAGTCCATATCATGAGTGAGAAACTTGTTTCCTCTTCTGCTCTGTGCACCTCTGTGTGAGGTGATATGATGTGGAAGGGCTGTTAACTCTTTTACTCCTGGAGTGACTCAACCATGCAGGGCTACTAAGTTGCATGACTCTAGGGACCACCATTCATATAAGACATGTGACCTTCTACATGAAGATTCCATTCACAAAATGCATTCTAGGAGGATGATGCCCTAGAAATCATGCAATGCAAAAGCCCTGCTATGTTGGCTTAAGAAAGGAGCAATCTAAGAGGGAAAGCAAAAGAACCAAGCAAGAGACTGACCTGTCTGTGTGTATGATGGGGTGATAAGGGCAGGCTGTGTGGCTGGAGTGGGGTCTGGAGAATTGTCAGCACCTGATGGCCAAAAGAAATCAACATCCTAAAATCTAAATATTATTTACAGTACCATACTCAAATAACTTCTGAGAATATGAGTTGAATATTTCTGAAAAAACATAAAAGCAATGATATCCAGAGGAAGTAACAGCCATACAGGAGTGTGGAAAATGTCAGAGTTTCACAAATTAGATTAGAGCTCATGGATTATTTGGATATAATTGATTTTTCTAACAACAACTCTTAGAATAAAAGATTAAGAAATTTTAATGGACTCCATTTCACGCAATACATATTCCATTACCTAAATATTTCCATCCATTTTTCTTCTATTTTTTTTTTTTGAGAGTTTTTTGCTATAGGGCGCATGCACTTGCCAGGAAGACAGAGAGAAACAGAGAGACAGAAAGTGAGAAATCGTCCCCCTGAGTGGGGATGACCATGCCACAATTCCTTCTCCTCCATTCTCCTCGGGATCTTGGGCACGCACGCACACGAACCCATAGTGAGTTTAAGCCACTGCGTCTGGGGCTCAAACCGCAGTTGACTAAATGGGAGTTCAGTGACATAGCCATTACGCTAATTGCTGGTCCCCATCCATTTATTCTTAATGATTATCTAGAATTGACCCAAATGTATCCCTTTAATTGTGATGTGGAATGGGTTTTAATTCTTTTAGTTCTATCATAACTTAACAAAATCATGTCTAGAAGGAAAAACTTATCCAACACAAACTACCCAAAAGTTGGGCCAACCTAGGAGAGTGTCTGATGAAGATGCAGCTTCAAGCTTTGTGGTAGGACTTGGAGAATCTGCAGCACCTGATCAAGAGATCAAAGTCTATGAATGTATACTGTATTGTTCAATGGCTTCTGTTAGTGTTGCCCGAATAGACAATGGGGAAGTTCTGAGTGGTAACAGCCCCTCACCTGCACAGATGACACCTGCATCCTCCAGGTGCCCACAGTTGAGCTGAGCCTGGCTGCTGTGCACGCACTGCCCCAGGTGACTCTCAGTGCCTTCACACTGCATGTCGTCCAGCAGGATCTTCCTAGAGCCTGCTCCGAAGTGGGCTCCTGTAGGGGCTGCTACTGCCTGGCCACACTGCAGCTGGCGGCACACGACGGCAGCCTCAGCCAGGTCCCAGAAGTCATCACACACAGTCCCCCACAAGCCCTGGATGAGAACCTCCACACGTCCTGAGCACCTCCCAGTGCCATTCAGCAGCCTCACCTCCATCCAGGCTCCTTGAGGTAGGTGGGGGCACAAAGAAGAGGGGTGCTGGTGACTGGCTTTCTGATGTCAGAGATATTTCTTTCATTCTTTTTGGATCTGAGTCTGTTTATCACATAAGCCTGTGTCACATGTACAGCCAAGAGTCTGAGCCATGCTGATCTTCAATTTCAAAGGACCAACCTTCTGTTTAAACCTCTCCTTAGAAAAAGGTAGTTATATACTGAATTCTATGCTAGAAGTTTCTGGAAGGACCCAACGGTGCTCCAAACAAGGTCATTTTATGCATAAAGTAATTTCATGTGTGGAACTCAAGGAGAGAGATGTGTAAAATATCAATAGATTTATGGCAACTTGTATAACGCTTGACTGTATGTTGCAGCTAATAGTTAAGCCATGTCCTGATATCCAGAATGTTAATATCCATATCAATCTTAAGGTCTTCTAATCTTATATTGAGCCTCTCACCTATAATCTATGGTTTAATGATGTAGGCTCTCCTGAATATAAACACGTGCCTAAGACTCTACCATTCACTTTTTGTATACTCTCTCTCTCTCTTTTAAGAGCAAGCACTAAATAACTTAATATAAAGACTCACCTGGCCTGGGTGTCAAATGAAGGGCAGCAGATTCAGAGAAAGGAAGAGTGGCTGACGATGTATGCCCTATGAGTGTGGAGAATTAGAAAGAAGGAGAATGTTCACAAACAAGAACAACAGGAAGGCTGTGCTTAGTTAGTATCAGGAAATGATGATTTTCCCCCTCTCGATGTTTCCTTCCATGCCATGCTGGCTCCTCCTCATCCCTTTCTTACTTTACCTAGGAGGAGAATGGAGATGTGACTGATTAGAACATTTTTTTTTTTTTGAGAGATTTTCACTGTAGGGCGCATGCGCTCGCCAGACAGACAGAGAGAGACATAGAGACAGAAAGCGAGAAATCACCCCCCAGGGGGGATGGTCACGCCGCAATCCCTTCTCCTCCATTCTCCTCTTGGGATCTTGGGCACGCACGCACACGCGCCCAGCGTGAGTTTTAAGCCACCGGGTCCGGGACATGAACCACGGTCGACTATGTGGGAGTCCAGCGACATAGCCATTACGCTAACTGCTGGTTCCCCTGATTAGAACATTTTAAAGAATGCTCATGTGCGGTGTAGCCCAATTCTGCTCTTTTTTTTTTTTTTTTTCACCATGGGAGCCAGCCTGTTCTCAGAGAGCTTAGAGCCACTTCTATACCTTCCACAGACCTCCCACCCTGTTTTGGGGTAGAATATCTCACTCTGGGGTTCAGGGCCAAGTCTTTTGGCTCTCATGCTGAGCTACATTCCTCAACCTGAGCTTTTGTGCCATGTTGGCCTCCGGTTACCATTTCTTTTTATTAAATTTCTCAAATTGTTCGAATTTCAGATGGTGATAAGAGGAATAGCATTTATTGATTTCTCCCTTTGAGACGGCCATATACAGTGCCAATTCATGACTGCTCCATCAGAAAAAAAGGCTAGGGAAGGAAGGGGAGTTCCATTCCCCACCCACTTACCCCTCCTCCCGATCATTCAGTTATTGCACTAGGATGGAGAAATTTAACATCTTTGAGATTTATTCCAGGATTCCAGGTGTTTAAATGTATAAAAAAAACCAGTTCTGAAATTCACTGGCTCCCATGACTCTTGTTTCTTTTCAGAAAATATCCAGAATGTCCATGTCATGTAGACATGATATTAAAAAGAAGTTTCAATTTCCACCTAGAAACTGGATAGGATGTGTATTCTCTAAAAATTCTGGACATGAATTTCCCTTCATTTTGCCTAATTTAAAAAAAATCTACTGACCATGGAATCAGTTTGATCAAATTGATGATCAGACTCTCAACAACAGCTGAGCCATGAGATTGTTAAGAATGAGGCAGGTAAGTGACCAGCAGATTGCATAATGGTTATGTCACTGGACTCTCATATAGTTGAGTCCTGGATCTGGGGGCTTAAAACTCATGTTGGGCATGTGTGCATGCATGCCCAAAATCCCAATAGGAGAATAGAGAAAAAGGGATTGTGGTGTGGCCATCCCCCTTGGGAGGGTGATTTCTCACTTTCTGTCTCTCTCTCCCAAGAGTGCACATGCCCTATAGCAAAAAACTCTCAAACAAAACAAAACAAGGAAAAAAAAAAAAGAAAAGAAAAGAAAAAATGAGACAGGTGAAAGGGCAAGCCATGTGACTGTTTCATTTTTCAATTAACCATGTAGAGGTGTGTAGAATATCCTCAACAAGGTTAAGGAGCAAGTAGAAAGATTTGTTGGTGAAGCTGGTGGAAAGACAGAACTTGTGGAATAAAGAGAGGATAAATTTGTCTTTGTGAATGTCTCCAATCACCTTTCTTTTCCTTTGGCTCACCAGACAAACTTGAAATAATTACCATATTCTCCTGATCAAATATAATAGGCAAAGGAAACATGAGTGTTTCTTAGACCTCTATCATTTCCTGCTGGTGGTTGCACCTTCATTGCTCATAGACTTGAATCAAAGACTTCCCATACATAATAAGTAATTTGTACCTATCAACAAACAGACCTTCAGCTTTAAAAAAAATTTTTTTATTTTATTATTATTATTATTATTTTAAGTTTTCTATAGGGCAGTGTGCTTGCCAGAGATAGAAAGACAGAGAGAGTGAAAGAGAGAAAGTGAGAAAGTAAGCCACCAGGTCTGGGACTCAAACTGTAGTTGGCCACTTGGGAGTCCAGTGCCTTAGCTACCATGCTACCTATCGGCTCTGTCCTTCAGTTTTTTTTTTTTTAAGTTGTATTTTACTCTCAAAAGTATTTACTTATTGTTAGAATTTATTTAGAGTGCATGAATTATTTGGAGACAATTGCTATTTTCTGACTACAAAGCTTGGGGAAAATACTGAGAAATTTAAATGGAATTCCTTTGATCCAATAAACATTCCATTGCATAAACATCACCATCTCTGTTTACTTGCAACTCCAAACTTATCATAGACATATCCTTTTTATTTTTTAACTAAAGACAATGCATGCGCTCACATGTATATGCACACATGTGTGCGAGAGAGTGAGACAGAGAAAATTCGCCAATAAGGCATGGTCATGCCACAATCCCTTCTCCACTTCTCCATCTTGTTGGGATTTTTGAACATGCATGCATGCACACATTGCTAGCATATTTTTCAAGCTTCCTGGGCCAGGATTTCAATTGCAGTTGGCCATGTGTGAATCTGGCTTCCTTAACTTTTAGTCTACATGGCTAGCCTTCCTTTCAACTGTGATGTGGAATGCATTTATACTATTCTAGAACTACTCTATCAGGAACAGGTTTAACATGGCTTAATGAAAGGACTTCTAGAAGGAGAAACTTAGCCAAAACAAACACAAATTGATACCTACCTGGGAGCATCATTTCCAATGCAGTTTGAACTTCAGGTTCTGTGCTAGAGGTTGGAGAACTATCATCACCTGGTTAAGAGACAAAGGTTTATGAAGTTATTTATAATGCACTGTTGAATAGTTTCTGTTAGTGTCAACTAAATGGACAATGACAACATTTTGGGAACTCACAGCCCTTCACCTGTAGAGATGACATTGGCATCTTCCAAGTCCCTACAGTTGTCCCTGGCCTGGTCCCCATGCATGCACTGTCCCAAGTGGCTCTCATTGCCTTCACACTGCACATTGTCCAGGAGGATCTTCCAGGGCCTGCCCCAAAGTGGGCCTCTGAAGGGCTGCCACTGACTGGCCACACTACAGCTGGTGCACAATGGTGGCCTCAGTGAGGTTCCAGAGGTCATCACACTGTCCCCATGTTCCCTGGATGAGAACCACCATACAGCCTAAGCACCTCTCTGTGCCATTCAGCAGCCTCACCTCCATGCAAAGTCCTGGGAGAACACAATAGAGAAGGACCTGGGGACTAGCTTCTGGTGGTAGGGGGAGTTCCTTCAACATTTATACTGATAGGATGTCTTAACCTGATTTTATAGAGGTTCTAGCTAATGATTAGACAATTATTATTATTATTATTATTGCCATTACCAATTTCATGACATTAAAACTTTCTATGTTGTCCCTCAACTAATGTTGCCTTATCTTGAATTCTGTTTAGGAAGATTTTTGTAATGATCAAAAAATGTGCTGAACAAACCACAAGTAGGGAAGTTGAGTGAGGTGTCTTTTTTGTTGCTTTCAGTCCCAACATCTATTTGTTCAAATAAAACTTATTGAGTGTGAAAAATACTGTGAAAATTCTATAGGTAATATTTTGGGTATGGACAAAAATGTCATTTGTTTATGCAGGCCAGGGAGGGCCTCCTGAAGACTCTGCATTTCAGGTCAACACAGAATTTTAACAGTGAGATAGGTTATGATCTTTAAAAACATACAGCCTCACAAAGGGTATAGCTTCAGGAGGGAGGTCTTTGTGAAGATAAAGGCTGTAATCCAGTGCACCAGGAAAATGGTTGGCTTTCACTGGGAGTCAGGGATGTTGACTTAGGGCATTATCAGGAGAGAAAGCTGAGCTTGTAGTACAGAAGCTGATGGCTTGGAAGGTCTGAGAGTGAAGCATCCTGAAATTCTTATTAATTTCTTCAGTTTAATTGTCTAGACATGTATAGCCCCAAAGGAAAATTTGAGAAGCAACTGCCTTGGGGCCAAGGTTTAAGAAACAATTGATCCCCTCCTGGAATCTCACAATATTAATGAACATATTAAAGGCTATGAAAGTTATTTAATAAGAAATTATGAAAGCTGTTTAGCTCAAGATAACCCAATTGCTATGATGACATATTAATGTAACATATTACATTCCAAAGAACTTGCATACCTTTTGCTATATATTTGGGAGATCCTGTCATCATCTAATTACTTCACATCAGAAAAATAGTCCTTTAACACTGTGCCTAAGATTATGACAGGATCAGGACACACAGAACCATTTCTGTCCCAAGAAATAGTAATCTATGCTTGTGAGGTGCAAGAGTGTGGAAAGTTCCCTCTGTAGTGTAGGTTTGCAGGGATAGATGGACGCTCAGAAATGAGCTATGACACTGGAAAAAAGATATCCATTAGTACTGCACCCCTCATCATAAGCAAAAGGCACCAGCATCTAGAGAATTTTGAAGACTGTGGTACCACAATAATACATAAATTCATATTTTCTCCAGATAGTGTGACTCATTCCCTAACATTAACATCCCAAAAGAGAAGGAAAAAATATGTGTGCTCATTTCTGGCTATAAATATTACCTATGCAGTTTACCATGTAAACCACAGTTTACACATAATGTCTAGCATTCAATCAAAAACCATGAGACCTACAAGAAAGCATGCAAAACCAACCCACTGTCAAGAAACATAGCAATCAAGACAAGCATAATGAGAGTTGAGCCACAGTTTGGAGCAATCAGACAAGGCCTTTAGGGTAATTATGATTAACATGTTAAAAGATTTTATGGAAAAGGTGAATAACACACATGAACGAATAATAATTTCAAAAGAAAAATTAAAAATACCAGAAAGAGGGTCAGCAGGTGGCATGGTAGTCAAGGCTCTGTATTCCCACATGACCAACAGTGGTTTGAGTCCCAGACCCAGTGACTTGAAAATAATGCTGTGAGTGTGTGTGTGTGTGTGTGTGTGTGTGCATGCCCAAAATTCCTAGAGTAGAATGAAGGAGAAGGGATTGTGGCATGGCCATTCCCCCTGGGGTGTGTGTGTGTGTGTGCGATTTCTTATTTCCCTACTCTCTGTTTCTGTCTCTCTCTGGTGAGCACATATGCCCTATGGCAAAAACCTAAAAAAAATTATCCAAAAAGAGTTATCTAGATAAACAATACAATATTTGAGATAAAGAATATCTTTGATGGACTTATCAGTAGACTCAACACAGCTGAGAACAGAATCAGGGAATATACAGGCAGGTAAATGGGAATAATTAAAATAAAACATAAAAAGGAAATGTTAAAAAGAAGAACAAGCATTCAAGTGTGATATGTACAGAATACTCTAATATACATATAAATGAACTCTCAGAAGGAGAAGAGAGAGAAAACAGAGCAGGAGGAATACCTGAAGAGGGATTGGGCAAGTATTTAAAAAAACCTATCACATCATATACCCAAGAAGCTCAAAGAACCCCAAATAGGATAAGCAAACTGTTGAAAACCAAAACCAAACACTAAGAGAAAGTCTTGACATTAATCAGAATAAAAAGAAACATTACACAGGGAAGAACAAAAATATGAACTAGAGCAAACATCTTATCAGAGCTATGCAAACCAGGATACAAAGAAGTGCATAGTTCAAGTACAACAACCCAAACTGTCAACTGAGAATTCTATACCCAGTAAAAATTGTCTTTCAAAAATAAAGGTTAGTCTGGGCACAGTGGTGCCTGCGACTAAGATGCTGTGCTCTATAGCCTGGAACTGCATGGAAGGCCCAGGTTCAATTTCCCATTCCAGCCTAAGGGCTGCCCATGGTGAGGTGTCTATAATCCCAGTGATTTGGGAGGCTGAGGCAGGAGGATCACAAGCTTGAGGCTGACCTGGGTAACATAGTAAGGCTCTTTCTGAAAAAGAGCCAGGCAATGGTGGCATGGCTCTGTTATCCCAGATGAGAGACTGAAGCAGGAGGATCATGACAGTACGAATCTGTCTTAAAAAAAAAAAAAAAGATAAAAAATAAAATAAAATCTTTCTCAGAAAAATAAAAGGTTACAATTCATTGCTAGCAGACCTAAACTATAAGAAATAGTAAAGGAAGTTCTTTAGGCAGGAGTATGATACAAGGTAGTAAGAAATCCAGAAAAATAAGGAGCACTAGAAATGTTAAAAATAAAGGTATATGCAAAAGATGACTTTTTCATGTTTAGTTATAAAAGTAATAACAATGTATTGTGGAGGTTATAATGTAAGTAAAATTAAAATATATTACAATGAAAACAAAGACAGTGAGAGGAATGAAAAGTATATCATTGCAAATTTCTTATATTTTACATGACTTGATATAGTATATTTGAAGGCAGACTTAATAAATCAAAGATGCATATTGTAAACTCTGGGTCAACAATGCAATATTAGAAGAAAGAGGTAAATCAGTAATGGAAGTCAAATGAAGTCATATAAAAATGCTCAATCCAAAGGGGGCAGG